GCATAAGCCCCATTTCATTTTACTGCTTGTGTTCTTATTTTAAAGGAAAAGGAACAGAATTTCTTTTGCCCTGCAGTTCCTATTTTGAGTGGAAGCATTTTCACTGTGTTGTTCCAGCCCTGGGAGAGACACCAGATTTTCTCTGGTTAAGAGTCCTTGGCCAGCCAAGTGAATTCTCTCAGACTTTAGGTCTCTGGCATGCATGATTGGGCCCACTAGGATCTTTTTTTTAGACAGAGTCTCACTCTGTTACCCTGGGTAGAGTGTTGAGGTGTTATCATAGCTTACAGCAACCTCAAACTCTTGGGCTCAAGAGATCCTCTTGCCTCAGTCTCCCAGGTAGCTGGGACTTACAGGCACCCACCACAATGCCCAGCTAGTTTTTCTATTTTTAGTAGAGATGGGGTCTTGCTCTTGCTCAGTCTGGTCTTTAACTCCTGAGCTCAGGAGATTCACCGGCCTCTGCCTCCCAGAGTGCTAGGGTTACAGGTGTGAGCCACCTGCACTGCGCCCAGCTCCCACTAAATTCTTTATGTGCAGCTTGTGGGAGTGAAACGGAGCTTCTGAGAAAATGTGGAACAAAATTCCATTATGGAAAATTACTCCACAAAGAAGTGACTTACAATGGAAGATATGATGTCACCAGCTGATTTCCCATAATTGTATTGGTGGTTGACCTTATGTAAAGAGGTCTTTGATGCTTCTAAGTGCTCTGTTCTTTCTTCCCTTTATGCTTTTCCTACTTTATAAACAATGATTACAAATAAAAATGACTGATGGTCACAAACTGTACAAGCACCCAAGAAGAATGACATCGAGGAAATTTTGCTCTGTGTTCTCAAAACGTGTATTTCAGAGTCATTCTCTAATGACTTACTATAAAGGCAAATTTCTCAGACAAAAATTATAAAGAGAAACCTTGAAATAAAAATAAATACATAAAACCTTGTTTTCACAGAAAAATTTTTATTGTGGCATAAAATATATATAACATAAAATTTCCCATCATAGGCTCGGCGCCTGTGGCTCAAGTGGCTAAGGTGCCAGCCACGTACACCCAAGGTGGTGGGTTCGAATCCAGCCCGGCCCCGC